GTGCTCCAGCTTTGGTCTGACCAGTGTTTGCTTCAGCAGTGGTTCCGATAGCAGTTGCTGTTGTGGTGGTTCCATCACTTTGTGCTCCATCTGTGGTCTGACCAGTGGTTGCTTCAGCAGTGGTTCCACTTGCAGTTGCTGTGGTGGTGGTGGTTCCATCACTTTGTGCTCCATCTGTGGTCTGACCAGTGGTTGCTTCAGCAGTGGTTCCACTAGCTGATGCTGTCACGGTGGTTCCAGTAGCAGTTGTTAATGCACTAGTGCTTTGGGCATCGGTGGCAATAAAATCCCAGGTTGCCATCACCAACAGAACACTGAGAATCAATCTCTTATCCATGCCTAAAGGAAAGGCTAAGATTATTTAAAGTTATATTTAGGGAGATTTTGCTTCATTGTTAGATGCTTTCCAAGGAGATTTCCAAAATGATATTCACATTTGTCTGAATTTATTTTGTAAATGAGTTATGATTTTTATTTTAAAAATCAAAAATAGTAAAAAAATGTAATATTGTATAAGGTGCATACCTTAAATATATATGTGATAATACCCTACATTTGCGCAACCTTTAACATGAATTCCTTAAACATCTGACTATCTAACAAGGGCAAATCGATGTTAAGTTAATGACTTACATACAGTAATTAGTATTTGTATATTTTTCAATAACCAAATATATTTAAGATAAAATGCAACTGAGATGACCTGTCTTTGTGTTTTGTAAAAAATTGTGCAATTGTATTTGAAAAATATATATATTATTTCAAACATCAAAAATAGCTATTTAAACAACTTCAGGTTTTTCAAAAAATAATACTAAAAAAATTATTCAAAAATTAACACTGGTTGTCGTTCTACTCACCTGTAGGTCTTCCTGTGCAAAATAAAGTTTTTTCAAAAGTAGTGCAAAATAAGGTTCTTTAGAAAAAAATATCTCTTATGTATCGTGTTTAATCCCCAGAGATGATTCACAGACAGTATATTTACAATGTCCTCGGATGCCCAGGTGTAGCTGATACTAGTTTACTTTGTGTCACTATTAAGCTTTTGAAGGAAGGAGGGAAGGAGGGAGAGAGTGAGGGAGAAAGCAGAACGTATCAAGGGTAAATAGAAAAAGGGTTATAGGTGTGGTATATTGCCAAGGGAACTTTTTTTTCCTGAGACCTCTCATGAAACACAGACTGTCACAGATATAAACAAGCAAACAATCGGTTCTACCATATTTTGTTGGTTTTGCAGATATGAAGTACAGCAATGACTAAAAAAATGTCCCACTGCATGTCACAGAAACCTAAACCAAAAAAAACTTTTTGTATCTGCTGTTTTATTTCAATTTTACTCAAGTCCACAATAGAGAATTAACATAAATTATATTACTGTAATCCATACTTAATATATGATGTGTCTTATTTCTAAAAAAAAAAAATAATAATAATAAGTTCAATCTTTTTTGGCTACAAACAATTCTGACCTTCAATTCTTGTCAAAATATCACGTTTATCTGAATTATGATAATGTGTAACCTAATAATATATCAAGTTCAATACTAATTATTAAAATAAATCATTCTAAAAAATGTGATCAGTGCTGAGCGAGTGTACACCTCCATTATTCTATTTTGACCTATCCTATAAGCATATTGCTCAAAGGATGGCTCATGCTTGTGAATCATGTCATGTCAAAAATCTGTCACTCCCATCTAAGTTTTATTTGTCTTTTTTTGTTTGTTTCTTTATTTAGCTAATATAAAAATAAAACAAGATCAGAGGCGGAGAAAATTACAGCATTGAAACCCTTTCAAACTCTGGTTAATATCTATACATTGCATACTGTTGGAGTGTTTGGAATTTAATGTTGTACTGTTATAGCAGCTTCATATCAGACACACCTATTATGTGTGCCACACTTCTTTTTCCACAACCCTTCTTATAACATTGCAGAAACGACTTATTGCCCCAGGATTTGAGAAACAAATACGGCAATGTACACACGAATGCTGATATCCAAAATCACAACAAAACAAAAAAAAAACATGAGAAACAACAAATAATTAATAAGTTATAAAGTAAGAAAATAACTAAAACCATCAATTTCACACGAACCCAAAGATATACATCAACGCATTTAACATGCAAATATGTGCACATGTGCGTGTACACTCATTTACATGTTCACATGCAAAGAAATTGTAGATGATCTGTTCAGTTTCTAGGTACAAAGATTTCTTTGTTGGCTTTTTGTCTCAGCGATTAAAAGCCTTGTGATCTGTAAGATGAAAGTGCAAATTATTGTCCTGAAACTCCTGCCAGAGTTCTGCATGTGTTTTCCCCAACCCATACAACATTGGGCCTTTCATAAATAAAGTTACTGATCTGGTTGCAACAAGTCAACATAGTGATTTTACAGAGGACGGATGAGGAATCACAGTCTGAGTGATTTAACACAATAATGTACTGACACATTATTGTGTTGAGGGCTGAGCTAAAATTAACTGACAGCATTTAATTATAAAGGTTTTCTTCCATCCATTTGCTAAATGCCAGGCTCAGGACAAAGGACCCGGTATTTAAGGTGGGAAAAACAGTTACATTTAACAAAACTTTTAGTAAAGACAGAACTGCAGTGGACAGTGCTGTGTCTAAGGCTGGAACCTCTACAGAACCTCTACATCCTCTGAGAAAAGGGTTGCCAAAATTGGTCGTTAGTTAAGACCAATGACACTAATGTCCTCTTTGGGGGAGTGGCACCCTAGTGGTTAGGGCATTTCACTTGGAATCCTGAGGTTCTGAGTTAAAGCCTCACTTCCACAGACTGCCGGTCTGGATCCATGAGCAAAGACCTTTAACCCCCACACTGCTTACAATTGCAGCCGACTGCTCCACAAAGGGATAGATTAAATGCAGAAAGTTATTTTGTTGCTCTGTACTTGTGACAGTGTAATGACAATAAAACGCTGGAAGGTCCAGCACTGATCAGAATAACACTTCAACAGTTCAGGCGGTGGCAACCTGGTCTGAAGCAGGTGACATAGAAGTGGATGCTGTCTGGGAGCAGCCGGACTTCACAACTGCATTAGAATCTCCCGCATGCCTAATTCAAGCTGGGAAATAGATTTTTGTACACCAGAACACCACTGTTTGTTTGCCGATGGATCCATGTTTGGCTCAGAACAAAAGGACCCAGTATTCGAGGTGGAAAGACAG